AGCAGCGATTTGCGGCTTGTAAAGAATAACAATTGTGTTTTGTGTTTTCTTAAGGTAAAAATAATCCACGTTTTTGGCGGAAACTGAAAAATACAGGAAACTAGAATTCCCCTTTCACCCCAATACCTGGAGAGATGCGCAGGTAACATTTTTATACAGTTCCAGTCTTTTCTCTAGGCACATGCAGTTTTCTTTTTAAAATTTTATTGCATAAAACTGGCATCAGACTGTATTAGACTGTATATCTGGCATCTCCTGCAGTTTTACCTGGCATCGAGTGATTAGAATTTTGCCATATCGGTAAAGTATTGCCAACATGCTTTTTAATGGTTGTATATTGTTCCAATTATGGATGAACTAGAATCTATGTAGCTTATTGTTACACATTTATAATAGCAACACCAGTTTTAAATCTATTTGATGGTGATCCCACAATTCATAAACACTGTAACATCTCAGTGTGTCACATGCATATAGTCATAAATGTGTACCTACAAAAATAACATCATGTATATACTAGTACATAGGCACACATACACATGAATCCCTGAAACCTCTTGTTCCTGAACCAAACACATAAAAATCAAGTTCTTGCCGAACCGGTTTGGCTCAGTGGATAGAGCGTCGGCCTGTGGACTCAAGGGTCCCAGGTTCGATTCCGGTCAAGGGCATGTACCTTGGTTGCGGGCACATCCCCAGTGGGGGGCGTGCAGGAGGCAGCTGATCGATCTCTCTCATCGATGTTTCTAACTCTCTGTCCCTCTTCCTTCTTCTCTGTGAAAAATCAATAAAATATATTTTTAAAAAAAGATTCTCTTTAAAAAAAATCAAGTTCTTAAAACATTGAATGTGCTACAGTATTTTAAAAACCTCTTAGAGCGTCCTAGGGTGTGGCTCAGTTGGTTGGAGCATTGTCCAGTACCCTGAAGGTTCAAAGGTTCCATCCCTGATCAGGGTGCGTTCTAGAAGCAGCTAATCAATGTTTCTCTCTCACATATCGATGTTTCTCTCCCCCCCCCTTCCTCTCTCTCTCTAAAATCAATAAAACAAACAAGCAATCAAAAAACTCTTAGACTGCCCAACTGGTTGAGCATGGACCTATGAACAAGGAAGTCATGCATATGCCCAGGTTGCAGGCTCAATCCCCAGTGTGAGGTGTGTAGGAGACAGCCGATCAATGATTGTTCCTCATCATTGATGTTTCTATCTCTCTCTCTCTCCCTCTCCCTTCCTCTCTGAAATCAATTAAAAAAAAAAACTCTTACACTAACATAAGGAGTAGGTAGAGAGGAAGGCTGTGACTCCCAGGCAGACAGGCTGAGTGAGGACCTGGAGCTGGATGATGCTTCAAGTGAGTGGATGTAGACAAAGAAGAAAAGAGAACCAAGGACTGTGCCCTGGGCTCTCCAAGGTTAAGGGCTCAAGAAAGAACTAGCAAGAAACTCACGAGATGCAGGAAATGTGGAATATGTATACAATGGAATACTGCTAAGACATAACTTAAAAAAGAATGAAAGCTAGCCATTCATGACAACATGGATGGACGTAGAGGGGTATTATGCTAATTGAAATAAATCAAAGATGAATAGCATATGATTTCATTTACATGTGGAATCTAAGAAACAAAACAAGTGGATAAACAAAACAAAACAGAAACAGATTCATAGATACAGAGAACAAAATGATGGTTGCCAGAGGAGAGGAGAGTGGGTGGTGGTGGGTGAAAGGGGTGAAGGAGAATAAGAGGTACAAACTTCCAGTTATAAAATAAATAAGTCATAAGGATGTAATGTACAGTATAGGAAAATAGCTAATAATATAATAACTTTGTATGGTAACAGGTGGTTACTAGACTTATTGTGGTATTCACGTCATAAGGTACGTAAATGTTGCCCGGCTGGCATGGCTAAGTGGTTGAGCCTTGACCTATGAACCAGGAGGTAACAGTTCAATTCCCAATCAGGGCACATGCCCGGGTTGTGGGCTGATCCCCAGTAGGGGCCATACAGGAGGCAGCCTATCAATGATTCTCTTTCATCATTGATGTTTCTGTCTCTTTCTCCCTCTCCCTTCTTCTCTGAAATCAATAAATATATATATATATTTATTGATTTCAGACTAATATAATATTGTATGTCAACTATACTTTCATTATATATATGAGTGTCCAGATTATTATGATCATCTGACGTTTGTAGGCAAATTAGCTATAATTTCGCGCTGAAGTTGCTAGAGGGCCAGACCATTATAAATACAGAAGCAGGTTGTTTACCACGAAAGTAGAAATTATTTTTTTCTGAAGATATGGGTAAACAATGCGATTTAACAGCCTTTGAACGTGGGATATATTTGAAGGTGAGTGGCCAGATTATTATGACAACCCATCAGCACTTCCTTGGGCCACATTTTGCCTTCAATACTGCGGCGATTCTTCTTGGCATTGACTCCATGAGATGTTGAAAGGTGATGCAAGGAATCTGACACCATGCCTGATGAATAGCACTGTCTAGTTCTGTGAGACTTGATGGTTGTGGAACCGGCTGCCTGATGGCTCTATTAACTTCGTCCCACAAATGCTCAATTGGATTGAGTTCTGGTGATTGTGGGGGCCACCTAAGCAAGATAAAGTCTCCCTCATGTTCTTGAAACCACTCCTGCACAATATGAGCACCGTGGCATGGCGCATTGTCTTGTTGGAAGAAGCCATCTCCATTGGGATATGCCATCAACATGATAGGATGAAGTTGATCAGCAACGATACTTAGGTATGTTGTACTATTCAGATGTTGTTCCACATGAATTAAAGGGCCCAAATCATGCCAGGAAAACATGCCCCAAACCATAACACTGCCCCCACCAGCTTGAAGGGTTGTACTCATGCATGTGGGGTGCATGCTTTCATGCTGTTTCTGCCAAATTCTCACTCTGCCATCTGCATGATGCAACTGGAAACTTGACTCATCAGACCACATGACTTTTTTCCAATGCTCGACTGTCCAATCCTTGTGTTCCTGTGCGAATTGGAGACTTTTTAAAAATATATATATTTGATTTGATTTTTTACAGAGAGGAAGGGAGAGGGATAGAGAGTTAGAAACATCGATGAGAGAGAAACATCGACCAGCTGCCTCCTGCACACCCCCTAACTGGGGATGTGCCCACAACCAAGGTACATGCCCTTGACCGGAATCGAACCTGGGACCCTTGAGTCGGCAGGCCGACGCTCTGTCCACTGAACCAAACCGGTTAGGGCTTGGAGACATTTCATCTTGGTAACTGCAAACAGCAAAGGTGTTCGAACAGGCCTTCGACTTCCATATCCCATACGATGCAGTGTACGGTTAATTTGCCTACAGACGTTAGGTGGTCATAATAATCTGGCCACTCACCTTCAAATATATCCCACGTTCAAAAGCTGTTAAATCGCATTGTTTACCCATATCTTCAGAAAAAAATCACTTCTACTGTCGTGGTAAACAACCTGCTTCCCTATTTATAATGGTCTGACCCTCTAGCAACTTCAGCCCGAAATTATAGCTAATTTGCCTACAAACATCAGGTGGTCATAATAATCGGGAGACCCCACCCATGCACAAATTTATGCACCGGGCTCTAGTATGTGTGTGTGTGTGTGTATATACACACACACACACACATACTAGAGCCCGGTGCATAAATTTGTGCATGGGTGGGGTCCCTCTTGGTGGTCTGCAGGGATCGGGCCGAAACCCGCTCTCCGACATCCCCCAAGGGGTCCTGGTTTTGTGAGAGGGTGCAGGCCAGGCTGAGGGACCCCACCAGTGCACCATGGGGCCTGGAGAGGGACCGCAGGAGGGCTGCAGGGCATGTCCGGCCCATCTCACTCAGTCCCCAATCGGGCCGGACCCCAGCAGCAAGCTAACCTATCGGTGAGAACATCTGCCCCCTGGTGCTCAGTGCACATCATAGCGACTGGTTGACTGGTCAACTGTCTGCCCCCTGGTGGGTAGAAAGAGAGAGAGAGAGAGAAAAAAACATTTATGAGAGACATTGATTGTGTCTCCCACACATGCCCAGAGCCGGGATCAAACCTTTAACTCAGGTTCATGCCCTTGACTGGGAATCAAACCTGAGACCCTTTGATGTGTGGATGATGCTAACCTGAGAAATACTGGCAGGGCAATAATATATTCTTATTTATTTTTTTAATTTTTTAAAATGTTTTTTATTGATTTCAGAGAGAGGAAGGGAGTGGGAGAGATAGAAACATCAGTGATAAGAGAGAATCATCAATTGGCTGCCTCCTGCACACCCCCTACTGGGGATCAAGTCCAAAATCCCGCCATGTTCCCTGATCGAGAATCAAACCGTGACCTCCTGGTTCAACTACTGAGCCCCACCAGCCGGCAATATTTTCTTTTTCTAAAAAGGGAAACTCGTGAAGAACAGCTGAAATGTAGGAGGAAAACCAAGCCTGTATGGTGTCTGGAAGCCAAGGGAAGAAAGTGTAACTCACTGCTGGTTAGTGTGCATTTCTCGTTTCAGGCGTGTATTGGCCATTTGAATCCTTTGGATTTTCTAGTCAGATCTTTGCTCATGTATCCCTTATATTTGTTTTGTTTTGTTTTTTGTTGTTGTTGTTGACTTTTAGGGGCTCTTCATCTCTGAGCAAAATCTTTAAGTATATTGCAAATATATTCTACATTTGTCCTTTAGCATTGTCTAGGGAGTCTTAGATATGAGAAGTTTTAAATCTTTAAGTAGGCAGGTCTATCAATTTTTCCTGTAATGCTTCTGGGTTTTGTGTCTTACTTAGCCCATTCCCACCCCTGAGATAGAAAAAAATATTCCTCTAATCACAAGATCCAGAAGAAAACGTGGGAGACTTGTCCCTTTGCAGGCCAGATCAGTGCTTGGCCAATAATGGGTGTATGGTCCCCATGCAAAGGTGAATGTAGGGCCACCTGTCTGAGGATTCCTTTTCACACATCTTCAGGAAACGTTGCTACATTTTGGAGATTTCATTCGTGTGACATATATCCCTCCTGGCTTATCCTCACCCATTCTGTCTTATCAGTGGGTGTTTGGGTGATTGCTCTGTGGGTGGGCTCCCCTCACCCCCAGTACCTTGCTGAACTTTTCAAGTTTTCTTCAATAAGCAAGTACTAACAGTCCCTTTACAATGAAAAGGAGCCCTGATGGGTGTGGCTCAGTTGGTTGGGCTTAATCCCGTTTGATTAGGATCAAGTCACATGCCAGGTTGCAGCGGGCATGCAGGAGGCAGCCGATCATTGATTCTCTATCATTGATGTTTCTATCTGTGGGGGGGGGGGGGCGGGGGGAGACAGAAAAAAAATAAAAATGAAAACTATGCCTGTTCTTTGGAAAATATTTTAAAATACAGAAATTTTTGAGGATAAAAACATTTAATCACCTTTATTTATTTATTTTTTGTTTGTTTGTTTTTGTTAATCCTCACCCGATGATATTTTTCCATTGATTTTTACAGAGAATGAAAGAGAGACGGGGAGAGACAGAGAGAAACATCGATGTGAGAGTAACACATCAATTGGTTGCCTCCTGCAGGAGCCCTGACCAGGGCCCTGGGCCGGGGAGGAGCCTGCAACCAAGGTACATCCCCTTGACCGGAATCGAATCCAGAGACCCTTTGGTCCACAGGCTGATGCTCTATCCACTGAGCCAAACCGGCTAGGGCAACATTTAATCGCCTTTAATTCCACCACTCAGAGAATATCCTTAAAGGACACTTTTCTGTGTATATTGTTATTAATAGGATAACATTTAGCGTAATATTTTGTAGCCAATATTGTGAACATCTTTTCATGTCAATAAATATCTACATCAGTGAGTTTCAAACTTCTTTTATTTTAGGAACCCTTTTTTCCAAAGACCATTTTCCAAGAGCTCAACATGTAATCATTCAATTACTTATTGGGTCCAGGCATTCCTACCCTCCAGTGCCTGTTCTTTTTTTTTTTTTAAATACATTTTTATTGATTTCAGAGAGGAAGGGAGAGGGGGAGAGAGATAGAAACATCAATGATTAGAAAAAACCATTGGTTGGCTGCCTCCTGCACTGGGGATCGAGCCCACAACCCAGGCATGTGCCTGACAGGGAATCAAACCGTGACCTCCTGATTCATAGGTTGATGCTCAACCACTGAGCCATGCCAGCCGGCGCCTGTTCTCATTAAAGGCTGAAGGTTGCCCTGGATGGTTTGGCTCAGTGGATAGAGCATCAGCCTGTGAACTGAAAGATCCCGGGTTAGATTCCAGCCAAGGGCACATGCCTGGGTTTTGGGCTCAATCCCCAGTAGGGAGCATGCGGGAGGCAGCTGGTTGATGATTCTTTCTCATCATTGATGTTTCTCTCTCCCTTTCCCTTCCTCTCTGAAATCAATAAAAATATTTTTAAAAAATAAAGGCTGCAGGTATTACACAGGTATTGCACCCTCATTGGCTGTTCCCATGTTGAAGGACACCCACTTTATGCTCCGTGTTTTGTTGTTATTAAAAATGACTCAATGAATATACATACATCGGTGTGTACTTTTATCACATCCTTAAGAGAAATCCCTAGAAGTGGAATATTGGGGTCAGAGGCCCACCTGGGGCTAGAGCCTATTTGAGGTGCTGGGAGAAGGGTGGAGAGGTAAAACACATGGTCCCTGCTCTTCAATAGCTCAGTCAGCTTGAGGAAATGAGACTGAGAAAAGAGAACAGGAGGTTTCAATGAGTAAGGTCCATACTTTCCAGCATTTTCGCTTTAGGAATTCATGCAATGCGTACTTTCTGCATCATTGCAAAAACTAATAACCTACATGTTCAGCATTAGAGAATTGAATAAATATATATCATTACTAGAGGCCCGGTGCACAAAAATTTGTGCGCGGGGGGGGGGGGGCCCCCTCGCCCCCGCCTGGCCCCT